ATGGTACTAGTGATGATGGTGATGGTGGTGGTGATGGTAGTGGTGATGGCAGTGGTGGTGGTGGTGGTGATGGCAGTGGTGGTCGTGGTGATGGTGGTGGTGGTGGCAGTGGTGGTGGTGGTGATGGTGGCGGTGGTGATGGTGGTAGTGGTGGTGATCGTAGTGGTGGTGGTGATGGTGGTGGTGATGATGGTGATGGTGGTGGTGGTGGTGATGGTGATGGTGGTGGTGGCGGTGATGGTGGTGGCGGTGATGGCGGTGGCAGTGGTGGTAGAGTAGTGCTGGTGGTGTGGTGGTGATGGTGATGGTGGTGGTGGTGGTGGTGGTAATGTTAGTGATGGCATCTAACCTTTACTGTTCATTTTCAAGGAACTGCATACTGTACTCAAAATGTTTTATTTATATTATTCTATTTTATCCTCACAACAACCCTTGGAATTAGGTATTGCCATCAAATTCATTTTATAGATGAGGAAATTGAGGCATGGTGAGGTTCCATCCCTTTCCCAGGGTCAAAGGGTTGGGAATTAGCAGAGCCAGGATACAGCCAGGCCATCTGGTCTAGCATTCACACTCTTCACCCTGCACTCAATGACACAGACATGAAGATGACACTAGCCAATGACTGTTTTCACTGGTCACAGTCTCCCACTAAGACAGGAAGATGGAGCCCAGAACTGGGGTTCAGACATCCAGTCCCAGCTTGACTGGAGGCCCCAGGACTGGGTATGGGTAAGGGTGACCAAACCTGTGAGCTGTAGGATCTGGTCATCAAAGTGGGTCACAGCCTCATCATGCATGACCTGGCCTCCAATGACAAACTCCAGGCGTCTTTCAGCCAGGAGCTGGCGGACCTTGGGCAGAGGGAAAAAAGCTGGGTTACAACCTCCGAGCTTGGTGTGGTCTGCAGAGGACAGGCCTACAGTGTCTCATGGTGCCTTCCATCAGACTCCGCACCCTCATTGCTTCTGAAAAAGCAGGGCACTGTCTGTCTGTCCTGGTCAGCACCATGTCCCACCACCTAGAACAGCGCCTGGCCCGCGGCTGCTACTTGATCAATATATACATATGCTTCTAATTTTTACTTCTGAAATAATTTCAAACTTACAGAAAACATGCAAGAATTGTAGAAAGAGCCCCTGTATATCCTTTCCCCAGATTCATTCATTGTTAACCCTTTTACCTATTTGCCTAACACTCCCCATCTCATTATATACATGGTGTGTGTTTTTCTAAACCATTTGAAAGAATAAATCAGCAATGGCGACCCTTTTACCCCAATACTTCAGTACGTGTTTTGTAAGAACAGGATAGTTATAGCCATAGTATAATGATCAAAATCGTGAAACTTAACATTAATTCAACACTACTACCTGATCTACAGACTTTACTCACATTTTGCCAATTGTTTCACTAATGTCCTCTTTCTGGTGCAAGATTCAATCTAAGACCACGCTTTGCTTTTAGTGGTCATTTCTCTCTATTAGCCTTTCATTCAGAAATTCCTTAGTCTTTTTTTTCCCCTCAATGGGTTGATAATTTCAAAGATTATAGGCTAGTTATTTTGTAGAATGGCCTTCAATTTGGGTTTGTCTCATGATTGGCTGATAAATATTTTTAAAGTAAATGAGTGAATGGAAGGATGGAAACCTAAACAGTGGACAGAGAAGGTGGCAGTGAGGCCCCCGTGCCGTGTAGAGACTGCATTTTCGATTTTCTCTCTGAAGGTGTAGTATTTCACTTCATTCACTCGGCAGATATTGAGTGGGGACCTACTGTGCACAGCTTTATTTATTTATTTATTTATGCAAAATGAGGAAGACTGGCCCTGGGCTGACAGCCATGCCCATCTTCCTCTACTTTATATGGGATGCCGCCACAGCATGCCTGACAAGTGGTGTATCGGTGCGAGCCAGGGATCTGAACCCGGGCCGCCAGCAGCAGAGCACATGCACCTAACCGCTACACCACAGGGCCAGCCCCTGTACATAGCTTTAAATGGGCACCTTCTGCATGCCGGGCACTGTCCGGGCAAGGGAGACTCAGCAATGAACAAAGCAGACAAAAATCCCCGCTTCCGGCAGGCTGTGCCAGTTCATGGCCTGCCCAGGTCTTTGCCAGGCCATGCCTCTCTCCATGGGGTAGGAGACAGACAATGCAGTTTGGGGGTGTCCATGTAAAGAAGTATTGACCGCCCACTGGACACCCTGGAAAGGCTTGCTCCAAGTCGGACATGTCCAGCTCAGAATCCCACAGGTTGAGTGTAAGCTGTGTGACCATAGGCCAGTCGCCTGCCCTCTCTGAACATGGAGCATCTCCGTCAAGTGGGGTAACTATCCCTGCCATCCAGGCTGTTGGGAGGATTCAGTGAAGTAACGTGTAATGAGTACTAGCCCAGCGCCAGGCATGTGGAGGTGCCACTGACTGTGAGGCTCCTCCTCACGACTCCACAGGCTGCGGGTTCAAGACGTCCCCTCGGGGGGTCTGGTGGACTCCCTGCTTCACCTTCTTAGCTTTGCTTAGCTTTTGAGCAAGTCTCTTGGCCTCTCTCTCTTTTTTTTTGTTTGTTTTTTTTTGTGAGGAAGATTAGCCCTGAGCTAACATCTGCCAATCCTCCTCTTCTTGCTGAGGAAGACTGGTCCTGGGCTAACATCCGTGCCCATCTTCCTCTACTTTATATGGGACGCCGCCACAGCATGGCTTGACAAGCGGTGCGTCAGTGTGCGCCCGAGATGCGAACCTTCGAACCCTGGGTCGCCGAAGTGGAGCGCATGAACATAACCGGTGTGCCACCAGGCTGGCCCCTCGGCCTCTCTGAACTTCACGTTCAGTGACTGTTCTGAAGGGAGGTGAATGCTGGGGAGGAGACTAAGTCACAGATGTGGAACCTGCAGCTCACAGAGGCCAGTCTCCACCTGTGGTCACACCGGGAGGTGGTGGAGGCACAACTGGGTCCCAGGCTGCCTCTGCACAGGGCCTGTCTGACCCTCTGCCGTGTGCGAAGCCAATCTGCTGTCCACCTCTGAACCACAGAGATGGCTGCACCCTCAGCAGGGTCGCCAGGGTGCCCACGGGGGCCACACTGATACGTAAATGAGGGAAGAGGGTGTCAGGGCCCAGGGCCAGCACGGGAGTGCCCGGAGTCAGAGGTGACCCCACTCAGCGCCAGCTGAGTGCACAGTGGGGTTGCCAGAGCTGCAATTTTTCACAAATGACCGAAAAGCCAGGATTAAAAGCAAACATGGTCTTGGGCATGGAGCTGACCACACGCCTGCTCTACACCAGCGCTGTGAACAGCCCAGTGGGGTGCGGGCCGCGTGGTTCACGCAGCGCAGCCATGGCCGCTGCGAGAACGCCCCATGGGCCTCCTGCCCAGTCTCCACTGGGACACCCGCCGCCCCTCCCTCGCTGCCCCTCGAGGGCCACCCACAGGCAGCCTTACCTGGTGTTTCTGCTTCTCTGAGGCGATGCCGTCCCACCACAGCCGGAAAAACTCCTGCTCCACGGCGATGAAGCGGCGCCGCTCCTTGCGGGCCAGCTCCTCCACCGCCGAGGTGTAGACGTTGGCGGCGTATGCCACCATGCTTTCCTGAGGAGGGGGCACACCATCACACCGGCCCCAAGGACCGGGCAGTGAAATCCAGGGTGACAAAGCGCCCCTGGGCCCCCGCCTCCCGCAGGGCGTCTGCCCACGGCTCCTCCTCTGCCTTCCCCACTGCTCTCCCAGCAAACGACCCCCGGCACCCACTCTGTGCCAGACACACGGTGTGGGCCGGGACTGAGAGAACAGCGTGGCTCGCCCACCTCTGATGAGAACGTGCTCTCCAGGGAACAGAGACGAGGAAACAGACCATGACACTCTCTGTGGGCAGAGCGAAGCGCCAGCCCAGCCCGGGGGTCAGGACAGCTTCCCAGAGGGGTACAAGCTGGCCCTGAGGGTCCAATGGGGGAACAGCAGTCAAGCCCAGGGGCGAGAGGGGGTGAGGTCCAGGGACACCAAGGGGCCTGCTTGGGCTGAAATGAAAGGGAAGCAGGTGCTGAGAGCTGAAGCTGAGAAGAGCCGCTCCCTTGGGCTCCCTGTGGGAGCCCTAGCCGCTCCCTGTGGGTCTACCTGCCTGCCTCCCCCAGGCTGGGGGCTCCCAGGGATGAGTGCATTCATAGCTGCTTCCCATCTGGGTCTCCAGGCTGGCACCCAGTGGTGCTCAGAGATGCTCCATAAAGGAATGCAAAGAGCACTGGGCAGGGGATCAGCACAAGTGGGTTATTCCTGAGTGACCTTGGGCAAGACAATGACCCTCTCTGGGCCTCAGTTTCCCCTTCTGAAAACTGGGGCTAGCAAGCATACTTCCCCCACCCTTAAGCCATCTCCATTTGCAGGTGAAAATCACCTCCAGAGGCTGCCCAATGCACCCCAGGACCGGACTTAACACTCAGCATCAAATCCTCTTCCTGCCTCTCGCTCTTTAAACCAGCTGCTCACTTGTTCATGTCTTTTGTAAAGTTGTTATATCCATAATCACAGAGGATCTTTGCTCATTTATTTATCTATTTCCTTCCTCATTCCAAACAGAGCTGAAGGAGCCCTGGGTAATAATATCCAGTCCCCTACCCCAGAAACCTAAGGAAATCAGAGGCTTTTCCTCTTTTTCTCTCTGCGATCATTCATTCATTCAACAAACATTCCTGGGGCGCCGACTCCGTGTGTCAGGCACAGTGAGAATATGTCAGTAAAGAAAATGAATGAAGCCTCCGCCCCGTGGGCTAACGTTCTAGTGGGGAAAACAGACCATGAAGGAGCCAGTGAGTAAGATGTCTGGAAGGGAAGGAATGGGGAAGTGGCCCGGGAGGCCTCAGGCACCTACCTGGACCGTGTAGATCCAGCCCACATCCATGTGGCTGTGGGGCACCACGAAGACCCTGATGGAGTCTGCAGCCTGGGCCCCCGGGGGCCACAGCAGCACCAGTTGCCCGAGCAGAGGCAGCCAGCACAGCAGTCCCATCCCAGTGGCCAGCAGGCAGGGGCTGCACAGCTCCCCTGTGGGGCCGGCCCCTAGGCAGCTGCCTGGGCACCCACCCCTTGGAGGGGGGAGCAAGAGGAGGGGCCCTCGCAGCAGTGCTTTCCCTGAGCAGTGCCGGCTGGTGGTACTTGCTCTCTGCCTTTTAGCGTTCCACCCCCATCTCCAGTTTCCTGGCCATCCCCGTCTACCTTGAAGCCAAACCTCAAATGCCACCTGCCCCGGGGAAGCCTGTCAGATTTCTCTCCAGCCTGGGGATGCCCCGTCCTCACCCCAGTGCCCACACCCCTCGTCTGTGCCTCTCTGAGCTTCTCCCTTTGGGCATGCCCTGAAAAACTCAGCGCTCAGTTTGGGGAGTGCCACCATAAGGAAGTCCTCTCTGATAACCTCCCGCTCCATATGGAACTCTCAATCTGGGGCATGCAGTAGGGATTCTATCTCCATTTTAAGGAGGAAATCTGGCTCTCAGAAAGAGTACTTGGCTTGCCCGAGGTCACACAGCGAGTGGAGGAGTAAGCCTGGCGGAAACTTTCCCAGTGAGACCTAGATCACTGGATGACGACCGTGGCAAAATGTTTAACCTCTGAGGCTCAGGTGGCACATCCATAAAACAGATGCAGGAGAGGAGCTGTGAGTTCAGTGAGGGAATGCACGAGAGATGACAACCTCAGGATCTCCGGTCCCCCTGGAGGAGGGTGGGGTCACACCGGTGCAGCCCGGTGGGGAAAGAGTGTTTTCTGGAGCCCCTCTGTGCCGCCCCTGGGAGCAGGGGTCTGTGGTTTGAGGTGTACTGCCTGGGAACCCAATGGCCAGGCCTCTGCCTGGCGTCTTCTAGAGCAGCCAGAGCGGTGGCTCCCTCTCCCAGTGCTGGCCACCCTGTCCGTTCCCTCAGCACGTCCAACTGGAGAGCACGATCTCCAGGCCAGGCTGCGCCCTCTCTGCCCCTCCACCTCCAGGGCCCTCACTCTAGGGCCCAGGTCAGAGCCTCACCTGAGGCAGCCGAGGAAAAGGTCCACCAACGTCTGCGTCCTCATGGCCTACCAGGACACACAGCCAGACTACATCTCCCAGCCGTCTCTGCACTCAGTGTGGCCACATAGCCGAGTTTTAGCTGATGGGATGTGGGGGGAGTGCTCCCCTTCTGCATGATCCTCCCCCTCTTCCTCACCCACTGCCTGAATAGAGGGCACTCTGAGGACCTCAGGGAGGTCAGAGCCATGGACTGAGGCTCCAGAGGACCCCATGGAACCAAGAGGAAATCAACAGACCATGCTACGAGAGAGAAATAACTCCCATGGGCTAAGCCACAGAGTTTAGCTGATGTAACAGTGTCACAGACTGTATTTCCGAAGACAGCCATTACATCACCCATCCCGGGAGCACGTCATAGGATATGACCTTGACGTTCCTCCTGCTGAAAGAGGGGTTCTGTGTCTTCTCTCATCGAGGCTGGTGGGCTTGAGACTCACTTGTAACCAACAGAGTGTAGCCAAAGTGGTCCTGGGCGACTTGCGTGGCTGTCAGGGATGGCAGGGCAGCTTCTGCCTTGCTCGCTGGAGCACTCACGCGTGCAGCCTGGGCCGCCATGCTGCGAGGAAGCCCGAACCAGCCCACATGGGAGGGTACAGACGGGAGAGAAGCCCTGGGAGCGCGTGGACAGAGAGGCAAGCCAGCCCAGCTGCCCCAGCTCCTGCTGTTTCCACTCCGGCCCCATCTGCCTGCACCCGCATGGAGACTCCGTCCCGTGTCGCGTAGCTTTCCGTTCCTGGTCATTTCCTCTGGCCTCTGCATTACTGTGCTGCTGCAGCTAACCTCGGGGTTGTGACTGATACCGATTACCCCCTCCCTGCTACGCATTCGGTGCCTTTCACCCTCAACCAGCACCCGTGCTGGACGAGAGCGCTTACCGGGTGGGGTACCCCAGATCCCCACTCCCAAGGGATCTGACCCTCCGTGAGCACACCTTCCCGAGCCACAGCGTTCTCCTGTCTATTCACTGTCTAAACCAGCAACCAGAGAGCCCACGTGAGTGCCAGGCCGAGGATTCTCTTGCCTCCTGTGACAGTCCACTGGGTCTGCCTCCCCCCATGTTCCAGAACAATTGTCTCTGCTAGACTGGTGACTCTTCCCCTTGCCTGCAGGTCTCTTGGCATGAGTAGCCCAAGGTGACCTGTGGCAGCAGTAGCTGTGTCACCCGGCGGAATCACCCCCTTTTGGACACCAGAACCTCTGGACCTGCAGAGTCCAGTGCTGTACACGAGACACAAATCCCCACGTAGGTCACTGGGAGTGAAGATAAATGAGGCTCCTCCTGCTTCCCTCCCTCACGTTCTACCCACTGGGGGCACCACACACTGGTCATTGATTCGGGGAGTATATGCCTCCTGGAGGATGGTGCCCCAGCTTCACAGGCACTGTCTCTGAGCTGGTGCTCAGCTGAGCCTTCAACCGGCTGTTCTGCTCCTCTCTCAGGCCGGTGGCTTCTGGGTGGTAGGGCGCATAGTAGGACCAGCAGACCCCATGGCCGTGTGCCCGCTGTCATGCCTCCTTGTGAAAGTGGCTCCCTTGCCCTGATGTCACTTTGTGCCCTCTCTTGGAGCACTCTTTGGAGGAAGCCAGCAGCCACGTCATGGGACACTCAAGCAGCCTGTGGAGAGGCCAGGTAGAGAGCAGCTGAGGCGTCCTGCCCACAGCCAGCTTGAAATCCCCAGCGGCGCCAGTGAACCGCCTGCAGGCCGGTCCTCCAGCCCAGCCCCCGCTCCAGGAGTCCTGATGAACACCTCGACTGCAACCTCATGAAAGACCATGGGCCAGAAACACCCAGCCAAGCCACTCCTGGATTCCTCACCCCAGAAGCTCTGACGATAACAAAAGTTTACTGTAGTTTTAAGTCACAGTCCTCAACACATGTGGTATTCCCCTCTCCCCGGTAGCCAGTTACCTGAGTCAATGACCATAGCCACCTTGGGGAAGGGATGGGGGATCATGACCGTATGCTGCTGCCGGGCTGTCCCAGACTCCTTCCTCCCAGGACCCTGGTCACTCCTCCCATCGGTGGCCTTTGGATTTGAAAACTGGCTCCAGTCTGGACACTGGGCAAAGGGTTGGGACTTTTCACTGGACAGCTGCCCTCACCTCCTAACTCATCCAGCCTCCGCCACTTCTGAGGGGACATGCTGAGGGTCCCCGTGCCACCTGTCCACCTATTTTGTCCCAGGAGCGCTGTTTTCTAGTAACCCCCTCCTCAGCGCACAGTGGGTCTCGCTGCCGTTCCGACCTTGACGTGTGGCACGGTGACTGCACCGACCTCGCTCCTGGCGGCGGCGTGCAGGCCCCTGGCCCCTTATTTCTGTATCGCCTCACTGCCAGCGCCACCAGGGAGCCCAGCGCTGTGCGGCACCTCTCCAGTCAGGCCCAGCGCACAGCGGCAGCCGCGTCTCCGAGGTTTTTGGTGACGCTGGTGCTTGCTCAATGGAGTGTCCCCTGGGCCTCCTGCGGCACGTTGTCACCCAGTGGGTCTTCTGACCTTACAGACCACTTTCACTGTAGCCCACGCCCACTTCCCTGAATCTTTTGATCCCTTCTTCCGCCATCTGCCGTGGCAGTTCTGGCATGTCTTTGTCACTCGGTGTAGGCCAACACGCTCTCCACCTTCAAGAGCCATCTCTGCAGCCTGTGAGCACTGCCTCCTGGTGTCACATCCTTCGTGGCCTGCGTCTTCGTCTACCTCGGCTGCCATAACAAGATCCCACAGACTGGGGGCTTACACAAAAGACATGTCTTTTCTCGCTGTTCTGGAGGCTGGAAGTGCCCAGGAATGGGGAGAGAGTCTGGGCAGCTTCTGTGACAGCCTCTGAGGGGTGGCTTTCCTTCGCTGGGGAGGGGGCATCTCACTGAGGGGACAGGCCACAGTGTAGGAACAATTCTTTCTAGGAACAGGCTCTGGTGTGCCCAGCCGGAAGAGGCTACTGTCGGTTCTGGGTTCTGTTACTCTGGTTACTAGCAGCAAATTGTTGTTAAGAAAAAAAGCCGGTGCCAGCTGTGTCCCCCCTCTGGTGAGATGCACCACAAATGCTCCACCTTTGAATCCAAGCACTGGGAGAAGAACAGGGTGCTGGCAGCTCCCACACAGCAATGTCAACTTGTCCCAGTGTCACGCGTGGGTACTCTGGCTGTGACCTCTTCTCAAAATGGGTCACAGCTCCACATGAAAAGTGTCATGACTCACTTGTTCTGGGTGATCTAGAAAAAGGAACAGCCTGGCCTTTCTTTGTGGGCATGTGGGCGTTTGCAGGATGGACACACCTGGACCATTTCTCGTTTAGTCCTTGTGACATCGGCGTTCTCCATCCCCTAGAGCAAGCGGGACAGGCCTGGGGGCTCACACCAGCGTGCCTCAATGGGCACACTGCCTGGGGCTGCAGCCAGTGCCACATGACCTCCCCGATCAGCAGCACGGACGCAGCGTCCTCTGCCTCCAGCCTTCCCTAGCTCCCAGTGTCTGCCCTCTGGAAGCCTGATCCACAGACTATACTTCAGACCCTTCTGGACTTGGCCCCACTCTGCCTTTCTGACTTCACCTCCCACAACCGTCTTCTCCTGCGTTCCTTCTAGCAGCTGCTGGAAGGCCCCGCTGCTCCCATCCTCATGACTTTTCTCCCCTGTGTGTCCTGGCTGCTGTGTCTCCTCCACCTGGAATGAGCTGGCTTCCTCCCACCGCCACCACTGCGTGGCCAAATCCTTCCTACACTTCAAGCCCTTTCCTACCTCAGGCCCTTTGCACATGCTGTTTGCTATGCCCAGAAGCATCTTCCTCCACTTTCAGTCTGGCTGATTGCTACTCCTCCTTCATGTCCTGCACTCTCAGAGAGACCGTCCATGAACCTCCACTCCTCCTCGTTAGCCTTTACTGATGTATCTAATTCCAATTAATTTGTGTATTTGGTCCACATCGTTCTCACCCACCTGACTATATGCTCCATGAG